CGTCTCAACACCCTACTCTCTCATGTGCACTTATTTGAGGTACACACTTCTCTCAACACTCCAATTGGGTGGAGAGATTGTATACACTCATCTCAACACTCTAATTGGGTAAAGGAATTGTTTGCCTCTCAACACTACTCTCATAGCATCGGACCCACCACTATTGTTCAAAGTTTGAACTTGCAACTCTAATACGTACCATTGTTGGGGAGTCTAAGGCACTATTCACATTGTTGAGTTAAGCAACTGAGTCAGTAGTAATACTCAAGTAAAGACTCAACACGTGAAGACACCATCTTAAATACTTAAAACTAGTTTGTTAGGTTTATGAGTCTCCACACATATAGGTCACTTATTTTACTCTCTACTTTCAATGTGAGATTCTTTTTACTCACATGTGAGCACCCAACACTTAGGAGCATATTCCTTTCATCTTAATTACCAAACTAGGAATGGAACATAACCTAAGTGTTTAAAACTAGCCCCAAGCGAGTATCTTTTTGTTAGAGATTTCATATTTAATTTTAAAATGGTAAGGATTTGAAAAAGAAGGGTATCTTTCTATTATATCAAGGGTTCACCTCATCTAATGATTTACGTTGTGCAATTTAATATAATTCATATTGCACAACATTTTTTTACTCATAATTGTATCAAAAAAACTATGTAATTTTAATTTTTTTTTTTGTACTAGTATTTGATTTTTTTGCATTTTCTTATTCTATTTATTTGTTTATTGTTAATAATTAATAAAAAAAATCCTAAGGATATGTTTAGTTTGCAAGCAGGGCAGAGGAGGGGAAAGATAAATTTTTTTATTAATCAAATTATAATATTTGAAAACGTTACAATTTGATTAGTTGAAAAACCCATCCCTCTTTTCACCTCTCTTCTCCTGCCCTCTCCTCCTCTCCATATTCCCTCAAACCAAACACACTCTAAAACTCTTCATACAACAGGAGAATAAGGCCATTTTAGAAGAACGGCTGGAATTAGGATTTGCAAGAATGTGAGTTGAATCCATTGATATAGATCTGGGGCTTGATCCTTTCCAGGGAACCGCAAAGATAAGATAGAAGGGAAATAAAAAATTTTTAATTGATTAAAATAATAATGATAATTACACTTTTTAAGTTTATCCACCCATTTCCAGCTGTTGATCACAAACTTATTATGGTATTATTATGAGTCTCCAAAAATATAGTATATGGTAATAATAATTGTACAATAATTAATCTTGCAAACGTGCATGTGTGATGTGCAAATCATCTATGCATTGTATAACTAAGATTTGACAAAAATAAAAATCAATTTTTAATTCGTAGATTAAAGTAGCAAGCTATTTATCAAATGACGTCTTTAAGGTAAAAATATATTTATTATATATACATTGACGAACCAAAATATAGATAAATTCAACTTTCTTTCCTTTTTGTGATCAAGCTAACTTGTGGAATATGAATTTTGCAGTTCAATTTTTGATCATATCGAACCAAACCATTCATATGAAGTTGTAGCAGAATTTTCGTTGTTAGTAGGGACTTAGTGAATGGATGCATATATGTTGTTCTTGTGCTAGCTTTTTTTTAATCCCCAGAAAGGGTCTACTCCTAAACTTTTGTATGCTTTGTAATTTCGCTACTTCGACAGGTTTGTAATGTTTTGAAATACTGCTTGTATTCTTGTTAATTCAAATTATTAATGGATCAAATTTTAGACACAGACGATCGAAGTTAAGATTAGATCAATCTCTTGAGGCAGATGATTGAAGATTAAATGATTAATTGTTACATTTGTAGTTTTTTAAGGTCAAAGGGTTCTATCCAAAATCTTTTAAAAAAAAGGGTCAAAGGGTCGACTCTTTTTCTTGACAAGTTCCCTGATCTTACTAAACATGCCACTGCCATCTTTTTAATGCCACATTCCCTTAATAAATAAAGGCTACTTTCCCTTTAAGAAGTCAATCGCCCCACAATTAGATGGCAAAACTTTTATGTCGCTGAGCTGCTGCCAAGCTGGTTTAAAAGACCCATAATGATATGAGTCTCAATAAAAATATATAAATAAATAAGTAAATAAAAATAAAAATATCATAAAATATTAAATATTAATTAATATGTCTTCTAATTTAATATATTACACAATATATTTATTAAAAAATTATTATTTTTAATCTAAAATTAAAAATATATTATATATATAATATACAAAATAAACTAAATCAATTATATTTATATTATATTTTAATAATTAAAATAAAAAAATATTAAAATATATATTAAATTAAAAAATATATCAATCATTTTTTTTAAATATTTACTAAATTTATTGATGAACACATACGCATACTGTTATGTTAATTTGTCCTTTTATTCTGAATTCGTTGCATACGTTAGGGCCCCATGCATACATGTCAGCTCTTAATTTCTATATGGTACATACCAATATTATGTGACCAGAAATAGTATTTTAGGTGTTTGTGCAGTTCCCATATTAATGGTCGCCCCAGTTTTAGAGGGAGGGTGTTTGTGGCAGGTCATTTCCCGGGGAATTTATTTCGTTTATTTATAATTTTTTTATTAACAAAATTAAAACCATATATATACTTAAAGGTAAAAACGAGTGTTATGTCCCTAGACTTTCTCCATATTCTCAAATAAGCTCTAAAAGAAAAAAAAATGGCATATAAGCCCTAGAATGCTTGAGTTTTAGCAAATTAGCCTTTGTATTAATAGTGAAATCCCATGTGTTTATGTAAGTTAAACAATTGTTTGTTGTCTCACTTGTGTGGCAATTCCTTTACATTTAGATGTTAATGTAGCTTGAAACTCGGTTGTTTAACTCTTAATTTTAAGAATTTTAAATTATATGCTACTACCTACTAACATTAAAATGTAAATTAATTGTCATAACAGTGTCTAAGTGTAAAGGAATTGTCATGCAAACACAAAATATCCATGATTGTTTAATTTATGTTACCACATGTGACTTCATTGTTAAGACAAGAGCTAATATGCTCAAATTGAGGTGTTTAGAGACTTGCATGTTATTTTTTTTCTTTGAGAGCTTATCTGAAAAAATAGGAAAAGTTTAGGGGCTCAATAATGGATTTGCCTATGCTTAAAGGGAGTACAAGCAATATTCCAAGATTTATTTATAATTTGTGTATGTTGTTTGCTTCTTTTTTTATTATTATTGGAAAATGATAGAAGTGTAATGTTTTTGTATAAAATATTATGATCTTTTTATATAAGAATTATATATGAATTAATATGCATTCACTAATTTAATATCATATCATATTGATAAAGTATTGCATAAAAAACCATTGTACTTGTAAGTTGTTTTTATTGTTAAGTTAAAATAATACCCTCATGGAGTATTTCAAGTGATTAAGATTTTAAAATTTTAAATTAGAAATTTTGAATTCAAATATTAAAATAAACAAGAGAAGATTAAGAAAATAAGAGAATTTTCCATTATTATATACCCCATTGCCTGTTGCACCAAAAGAACTTGTGAGTTGAATAATAGAAGCCATAATTCTTGTGTTCTTTTCCTCACTCTAACAAACCTAGAGCGTAGAGCCTATTTGGTTTGGTGGGAGGGAGAAGAGAGGGGAAAAAATTATTATAACTAATAAAATTATTTTGTTGGCCTAACAATATAATTTAAGATACTGATTAATATATATTTTTTGATTTAGCATATTATACAATATATTTATTAAAAAATTATTATTATTTGATATAAAATTAAAGGTAAATAATATTTGGTTTGGTGGGAGGGAGAAGAGAGGGGAA